CGCGCCTGCAAGCGACTGACCATTGCCTCGAACATTTGAGCAAAGGTGAAGCAAAGTCACTGTCGAACGGTCGACTCGCAAGCAATCGCAACTTCACTACAATGGATGGGAAAGTTCTGAAGTCGGATCCAAAGAGGCTCGCCGGGTGACATCACCCTGTCGTCCCTTGCCCCCCCATTGCAGACTTCAACCCGGAGCTGAAGCGGGCGTGCCATTGGTCGGGCCACAGGCACGGCGCGCGACAGCACGCGCGCCATCCTCGGCCGACAAGAGAAAGCAAGCCAGCCAAATTTCAATACAGGATGCCGGGCCTGCACTGATGCTGCTGCCAGCATGGCGATTCAGTGAAGAGTCTCGAAACTTCGTAGCAATGCGTATGCTATCACGGTTACTTGTCATAATTCTTGTGAAGCACCACACAATCGTCCATTCTCTACGACGAAAGCCCACAAGCTACTTCTCGCAGCCGCTGTGTCGAAACCTCAGTTGCAAAACCAACATCCCAATCCATTAGCACCCGCAGAAGCTCAGGAAGCATGTTTGTACGTAGCCCCAAGAGTCTACGGATAAAGCACTGTGTAGCATGTCGACCCTTCGCTCAGCCGGGCACATCTTCGCAACGCTCGCCACAGAGACCTGAAACTCTGCACGGCTGTCACGACTGCGGCACACTGTCGCTGTCATCAACTCGTGTTTTCGTCTGCTGCTGTGGGGGAAAGCCAGGACTGCTGTGCTCATGACCGCTGGAAACAAAGCCCGAGTGTCCGGCCAAAGATCTCCAAGGCAAAGCGACTGCAGACAACGGGCACAGCCTGCCCTTCCAAGCCAAATGGCCACGACTCCCTTTTGGCTTCGGGGGATTCTCTCCTTTGCATCGGGCCCTTGGCACAACGCCTGAAACCACTGATCACTCTAAGCTCGCACCTGTCAGCTCCTACTCTGCCCCAGACGTCACTCCGGCTTCTCTACGCTTCGCCCAAGAACTCCTGCTCTTACGCATTAGGATCATGACATAGAACTCCCTCCACGATGAAATGTCGGAGCTGATATTCCAAGTCAGCTTCACCTTGTGTTCAGCTCACTTTGGCAATTCAATTTCAATTCAATCTGTTATGCGGCTTGTGTGCAACGGGTGGGGTGGGGTGGGGTTTGGTGCTGGCTTCATGGCTTGCGGCCGGCGTAACGTAGCTGCGTTTGTCAGTACTCACATTGACCAGAAGCTTTAGCCGTATCTTTGCCGGCTGGAGGATGCTGCCGTGTTGGCACATCCAACTCAGAGCCCCTACGCTTCAAGCAGCAGCACAAGGGCATCCCAGGCAAAGGAGCCCAAAAACAACCGTATGCTGCACACATTACCTGCCAAGCCCAGTCTGAGACTCAGAGATTCCGGTCACTCGTAAGCGGCTCCAAGAATCCATCTTCAGGCTCAGCTTCTCGTGCCTTCGCACAAGGATGCTTCAAAGTGAGCAGGATGTCGAACGTGCATCTACGCATAGGTCATTGAACCTGTGTCAATGTCACTGTGTTACTTGTGTTGTGACTCCGGATTTCAAAACAAGACGACAACGAACCCCGCGATACGCATCAAGAAACTCACAGCACGGCCAAGGCCAAGCCAGTGACAGAGACATGTGCAAGCATAATGCTGCGAAGTGACCAGACTTGAAGATGATGCCATCATGCAGCATCACAAAGATGCATGGATAGTGGAAGCCACAAGCTGCCCGTGACATGGATCACTAAAGCAGTGAGAAGACCCCACACATTACCTGCAAACCTGGCCAGGTGAGGCTTTTGGGAAAGAAAGACCAAAGCGACCCGTTGGTGATCGTAGTTGCAATCCCAAGGTGAAACGTTAGCAAATCGAAGATACTACCTTTGCATGACGTGAAGTTTGCGCCTGGGGGGCCCTCGAGAAGCATGCAGAAAAGTATAGAAAAGTGACAATGCAACATTGAAGATGAAGGAAGATATAACTTGAAGCATGATTCCTGCCTCAGACAACCATCGGGCACGCTTGCCGCTGCACCATTCGCCTGCGCGGCTGCTCGGATTCAACACAAATTCATGCATGTCTTTGAGGTCGAAAGGGAAACGAGTCTCTCAGACTATAAGGCATGCAAGACTAACAGCCAACAGCCATCTAAAATCGTCGGGCATGGGACCGAACTTCGGTGGCAGTGCACTTCCAAGCAGCGCCACGACCCAAGGGCCGCTGCAGACAGTCACAGTCCCAAATATAGAACACTGGCAAAAAAACTGGGATAAGCGAAGACGACCAGATGCATCTCAACGTAAGCTGGCGCAGGGAAGTACAAGCCAGGGTCAGCACAAGCGGCGTCAGAACAACATCGTCCAAAGAACACATCGACACCACTACTGTGCGCCCTGGATTGCAGAACGATTCATGCTGTGCACGTGAGTGGTTGTAATGAGGAAGTGATGTTACGTTTGCAAAAGCTTTTGCAAACACGTGTTCGACACACAAAAGTTGTCGAACTTGTCACTTATACACTTTGACACATAGAGTGACGGAACCGTTGGGTCGGGAGGATCACCCGGTCTGTAGGAATCTGCAAAGCTCGGGAAAAGCGATTTGGCAACTGCGCAACCTGGGTGTTTCTGAAACCGCTTAGGACCAGAGCAATCGTTCCAACGAAACGTTGATGCATCGCCAGTCTTGGTTGGAGGTCGCGCAGACTTTGAACGTGACATTCCAACTCCCATGCCAGAATCGAGGCTTCAACAACTAGGATTTTTCAACAGACATGGATCTAGTTAAAAGGGGCATGGGATGTTGCAAGCTTTGTGCTTCCCCAAACACTGCCTGCTTTTTGAAGTCCTTACCTTGGAGGGAAGTTGGAGAACAACACTGTCAGCCTTGCACACATCCACGGCAGCAGCTCTAAATCGTTCTCATTCTGGTCTGATTCTGCGGGCTGCAAGTCACTTATCTAGTCAAAACTGCATGGGGAAAGGCTCCAGTTGAAAATCTCGGAGTTGGACAGGAACGAAATTCCGATGCACGTGAGATTTGCAGCAGGTCAAGATCCAAATGCCTTTCACAAGTACACATAGGATAACTGAGTGGGGGCACCATACAGCCCTGATCCCTTGACCCTAAACGTACTGGATTGCAGGGAGATACAAGGATGTTATGGAGTGAATGTAAATGAGACGCGAAGTTCGAGCAAATACAATGACTGAGCAGATTGTGTCAACGAGTGATAATTAGTGCAGTGAGTAGTATGGAGTCGAGAAGAGTGAGAGGAGAATGGAGTGAAGTGGAGTACATGCAATAGAGCGGATGCCATGGAGTGATTGGAGCAAACGAATTAAGTGAACAATAGTGAAAAATAAGTATCGGAACTGATACACTGATACAAGCGTTCCACTTGCTCACAGGCCACCTTCACGAACTCGGCCACTGAGCATGAGCACACCTAGGGGGAACACCAAGGTTCCTTGAACTCGACGGTACAGTTTGCATCTTCAGCATTGATCAGACACCACGTAGGACTGGCAGCACAGTTTCGGCATGAGCTGATGCCAAAGTAGGACTGCGGTACGGTTTCAGGAAAGGCAGCCCTCTCCCAAGTCGAGTGACGGCCCTTGCCGTGTTGGCAGCCTTCCGCCCACCTTAAGCAGCTAGGATGCTGGCCAGCCGGAACAAACCGAACATACTTTGAGAGACTGGGTGCAACTCCTGTCAGAATGCCTGCAAAATTTGCGCCTGTGTAGTATCACATATTTTGCAAGCAGAGCTTCCAAGGGCTGCGCTGACCGCAGTACTGGCGTCCATCGCGCCTTAGACGGGAGCAACACGCGCGCGTTGCTAAACTGGTCAGAAACATCACAAATCCACTAGGAAACTAAGCAGCCGGCCACCTGAAACATCCAAACCCGTGACGGTGATCCTGAACCAAATCCAAGGCGAAGCAGCAATCTTCAGAATCACAAGCCATCGCGCAGACACAATTCTCTCGTCCAGACCTTCCGGTAGCTGCCGCGATAGCAGCACCCATCTGGCCAGATCTCCTGCCCGTGTCCCTCCATGTGATGACGGACCTGACCACAAGTTCCAGAAGTGTCGATGCTCCGCAAATACTTTAAAGTGATTGTGCTTGGCACACCAATCTGAAGGACAATACACAGTCTGCATTCAGGAACGTTTGAGGCACCTCAAGCACTTCTGCACATAAATGACGGCTTTGCTGAAGCAAAAAGCACGATCTGTCGAGCTGCTGGTTGTCGTGGTGATGATACTGATGATGATGATGATGATGATGATGATATGATGATGATGATGATGATGATGATGATGATGGTGATGGCGATGGTGATGGTGACGGTGATGGCATGATGATGACGGAGATGGTGATGATGATAATAATGATGGTGATGATGATGATGATGGTCATGATGATGGTGATAGTTATGAAGATTAAGATGGTGATGATGATGGTAAGGTGTTGATGGTGATGATGATGATGATGGTGATGATGACGATGATGATGACGACGATGACGATGACGATGACGATGACGATGATGCTGTTGATGATGATGATCGGATATTGCCGATGGTGACGACTGTCGTCATCATGCTCGGGATATATCCTGAGCGTGGTCGTTATCATAATCATGTTCACAATGATGGCCATGATCGAGTGAACATATGCCAGGCGAGGTTCATGTCTCGCAAGCTCGGGGTCTGGCCCAGCTTCCGGTGTAGACTTTGCCGCGTCGATTCAAAGTTCCTCGCTGCTCCCCAGGAAAAGAGCTTGAGTCTACGAGTACCATCACATGCACGTGTGTGCCACCTTCAAAGGAGACATGCTGTCGAGCAATGCAAAGTCAGCGAGTTGTCGTCCGTTTTAAACTGCGGGGCTGCCTTCGCCATGCAGCTGATTATTTGAGAAGTCGCCCTCGTACCAGCCGCTTGCCCAAAGTACCTGGAAAGCACAACTTACTCTCAAGTCACATCTCAAAAGCTAGATCTCTCGCTCGAAATTGAACTCCTACACTCCGTGAAAATCAACTTGTTTCGGCAATTCGTCGCACCTTGCCGCGATACCGTCTGCCTTGCCTGCGAGTACATGGTTTGCTCGCAAACAGGTGCCACGGTGCGATCGGCCTGAACAGTCCTTCAAAGCTGGAGCCATCTTGCCACAGCTCCCGGCCGCTTCCATCCTGGCAGGCTCTCGTCACCCCCGTTCAGGGGAACAGAGGACGGCACTGGCACGAAGATGGCGAAAGTGGTGGATGTGGTTGCTTGTTGGAAGTAAGACATAAAAACATGTTTCCGATAAATGATGTGAAAGAAGTCCTGACGGCTGCAATCGTCCCTTTTCAGCACATCGCTGAGCTGGCTTCCCAGACTGCTGACAGGATTATCCAAAGCTTCCAGGTATTTCTCCAGGCAGCCACGCTCGCCTGCGGCAGCATTCAACATCTTCAGCGAACACACGGCAACGTAGGCTTGTGTAGACATGCCGATTGACCCAAAAATGCACTCGCCTGGTGCACCCGAGCAAGACATGCCGAAAATTACAAACGCACAACACGAAGGCTCCTTCAAAGGGCTTTGTGCTACACATATCTGATTGCAGCAAAATCGCTTTGCTTCACACGTAGCTCATCCAGGAAGCATTTTGAGTCTTCCTGCCGATGTCAGCTGCGTACGATAGGCAGCTTCTCGCAAATTCCACTTGTTCTCTGATTGCCTGATAGCTTCTGTGCTACAGCACGTAAACCGCTTTTCGGGGACATCTGTCGAGGATGTGTCCTGCACGGTCTTGTTCTTGTAGCAGTCCTCACTGGCTCCAAGCTGCTTGCAACAAATACGGAAAGAGAACTTATCCTTTTCAGTGCCAAAAGCAGCAGAAACCCTTCCCAATGCAAAACCAAGCCAGGTTCGTTCGGCATACGCGCACTGCAACAGAAGGCTGCGAAAAAACAATGAATTCAAGACTTGTGCTTGCACGGCCAGTTTATTTCAGGCATGATCCAAAAGCGGACAGTACAGAAACCTAAAAAAAGCTTTGCTCCAATCAAACAGACTTTTCCAGACAATCAACAAAAAACTTGGGAAAATCAAAAAACGTTTTTCCATCAAACAAACTTTCTGTAGCTGTTTACAAGCAAACTATAAGCCTTTGGTTGGCCGATCCAACGCAGTCCGATCATGCTGCTCTGAGCGCCCTTATGACATGCACCGGCGAACTGATGCCAGACTGAACCAAACAAATTCGGTTCTTCGCTCAATCCGAGACTGGGCCAAAGCAGGCTACCGCGTCAGGATTCACTCTGTACATATTGCATAGTCATTCTTCGTGATGTTGGTGATGAAGTGTGTTTGCTTTTTCGTGATGTTGGTGGTGATGATGTTGATGACAATGACGAAGTGTAGTTGGTAGAGGGGGGGTGGCTAGTAGTAGTAGTAGTAGTAGTAGTAGTAGTAGTAGTAGTTGTCGTTGTACTGGTAGTAATAGTAGTAGTTGTAGTAGTAG